GCAGGGCCAGCTCCGCTGTCGCCGGCTGCTGCTGGTTTCCCCACGTGTCAGCAGAACAGGTTACCAGCGAAGGAGACATGGCACGGGGCAGAGGGATCCTGTGGAGAGATGCCGAGAGCCGCCGGCTGCAGCTGAGTGACAGACGTTAATAAAAAATACTCCTGCTCGCCTGGGCTGCAGGAGGCTGGAGCGCAGAATTAATGCTGTGCAGACTACGCCTGACATAATGACGCCTGTCTTAGCAGCCCAGAAGCCAGCATCTAATTTAGTTTTCATAGGTAGGATAAAGAAAAGTATTAAACAGACAAGGTGCAAATTTTTTTCCATATTAAAAACTTTCCCAATGGAATTTAACCCGCTTAATCATGTCTTCTGTTGTCTGAAAACCAGTAAGGTTTTTTTTCTGTTTTTCAGGCAGGCAGCTGTGTGAGCAGGCTTGTCTGAGAAATGCCTTTACTTTCCAGCAACGGAGCTGCAGCAGAACTGCCATTAAAATGCACCCAGCTGTACTGCACATCCGAACTGGGGACACAGGAGAAGTTAGAGGGAACACACTCGGCCAAGCTGAGCTCTGGGGTTCTGTACGCGAGGGGCATGGCGAGTGTCCCCAGATACTCTGTTAAAGAAACGACAACCACAGAAAAACCCCCACCACCCCCCAGACAAGCCCAGGTGGGGCCTGTGCTGTACAGAAAGGGGCGCGCGAGGAGCTGGAGGCAGGTTGGGGAGCTGCAGCAGGCGCTACCATTCGCAAGACCTGGATGTCTGACAAATTCCAGGGAATTTGGATTCCATGAGGAACACGATGAACCGGTTCCCCTTTGACCTCAGAGCCATCCCGCAGCGGCCTCTGCTGCAGAGCCCTCCCTCTCAGATGCATTTCCCAGCAGAGAGCAAACACATGGAGCAGCGCTCCTGGCTCCCGAGGAGGGCAGGGATTCTCCAGCCTGCACGGCCGGGGGAAGGAGCGAAGGCTGCGAGTGAGCCAGAGGTCGAGCCCACATAGCGAGGGAAAGGATGGGAAAAGAGATGTCCTGAGCCTCCCTGGCAGTTCAGGTCCTTAGATTTTCCACTGAATGAGCTAAAGACAAAGCACATAGATATATTTCAAGGCAATAATTTAACTTTCCTCTCCTGTTCTAGATGCTCTTCCAAAGACTGAGTTTCTGAATCTTTTGCACGTGGCCGGGAAGGTGTCTGCAGCACCGATGCTCTCCGAGGGGACTACTGCACCTTTCCACGCCAGCGTGGTATCACAAGCCGTGCAGGCTTAGGCAGGCCAGTGAAAGGAAAGCTATGCAAAACATGCCCTAGCAAAACACAAAGGCATCCCAGATTACCTTCTTTGGAGTGATTTTGGACACTTACATAAATGCAGACTAAGTTCTCTGCAAGAGTTTGCGGGAAAGGCACCGGCTGGTCCAGCTGCCCCTGCCGCCGCGGGCAGCCCTGGCCCTCCCTCCACCTCCTGCTCTCGGGGCTGCGGCTCCTTGCCGGGGCTGGGGGCTTTCCCCTTTTCCCTGCTTTACCTGCCCCTCTCCTACAACGGTGCAGCCGGGGCAGGCGGGATCGCCCGGCAATTCGCAGCTCTGAGGCAGAGATGACTCTGGGTCTATTTAAACACGCTTTGCGTTGCCAGCGGAGAGCAGGAGCGCAGACACGGCCACTGAGTCACCATCCTCCCCGAATCCTTCCCTCCAGCAACTGCTTGCCCTGACTGTGAGACCCGGAGGCTCGGTTTAGCCTGCAATAAATCATAAGTGCTTCAGCTTCAAAACCTTCGCATCCACGACCTGGGATGAGACGCCCGCGCGGCGGTCAGAAAGCTGCGCTGCCGGATGCTGCCGAAGGGCCCCCCGCGCCCCAAAGCTCGGCACAAACCTTCCCGTCCCCCTGACAGAAGAGCCCCCACGGCTGGAGCGCTCCAAGCCTGTCACGCTCCAAGCAGAGCGCAGTTGAAACACTGGGGATAGGAATTAATCCTCCCATTAATGTATGAAACGGAGCGTTTGCATTTCACAAAGCAATTATACAATAATAGCAGGAGAGCCATGATAGAAATCGCATCTTGTCTGAAGTTTCACTCCAATCCAACACATGAATAATTCCTCCTAGGCATTACTGGGAAAGCAGTATTAAAAGACCAATATAAACAAAAATTACTGGAAAAAACAGATGAGACGTGCTTCATCTCTCAGTCAGAGTTGAACGCAACTAAATTTATACAAAGTGGGCAGAGAAGCTTGAAGGGGCAAAGACATTTGTTACTGCTCAGTGCAAGATGAGCTCACAAGAAAACGCATGCTTCATCTTGGCAGCTTTCTGATGTCTTACTCCTAAAGCATCAGCTTTATTCTCGGTTTCCATGGCAGATACTTTTCTGAGCTTGTATCTTCCACAAATATTGCTAATTTATTCTCTCAGCCGTGTCTCTGCAAATACCTGCAGAACGATTCCATATGCAATACGAGCAGCGAGAAGCAGGCACATGTTAGGATGCCTCAGCTCTTGTTTTCAACCAGGGGAAACAAAAGAAGGGTTCGTTTTCTACAGCCGCAAGATCGCAGCGGATCTTCTGGCACTGTTTTTTACCCTAAGTACTCTGAAAAGGTATATCCGTCCAGTGAAGCAAAGTACATTTAGCATTTCAGCCAGACCTTTTTACAGGCAGGTTTTCCCCTCTCGCAGCGCTCCAGGCAGCACTTTGCACCCGAGCAGGAGGGGCCAACGATGAGCGTGGTCCCTGCTCCTACTGCTCCCCCCCCTCATATTTCATGTTAACGAGAGTCTATAAAACATGAGGGTCTTCCACGGGCAGAGACCCAGGAGCCAGCCACATCAAAAAGATCCCATTTTCAGGGTGGATTTACCAGCCCCACAAATGTTGAGCAAACAGCGGCTGCTGTGTAATTCTCACAAACTCGGCAGGACTACAGCAACGTGAGAGGCTTTTAAGTCTTTCTGGCAGCAGGAGAATCACAGGGTTTCGGAAAGCAGTTGTTTATACGCTAAAGCACGTAGCAGCTAGCACATACAAAAGAAATTCGTACAGGCTCATAAAAAGTAACCCGCACAATGACAGCAATGCAGAACTGGCAGAAAAAAATGGCAGGCACGTGCAGGGAGAGGTCGTGCCGGTAACAACGGCTGCCAGCCGCGGGGAAAGCCCGTCCTCTGGCGGGACATGGGTGAGTGCAGGGTGCTGGGCTGTGCCGGGGTGTGCCCAGCACTTACGGATGATTCCCGAGGTCCCAGGCAGGACCGTGGTCAAACTCTGAAATGCAGCCCACTCCGTCTCCTAAAGATAAAAGCCTGGCAAGCCCCAGCCAGATGGATGCTCACGAGAGCTGGGATGGAGCTGGGACTGCCAGTCCTTTGGGGGCCAGGCAGCGTCTTGCCCTGCTCTGCGTGTTGCCTGGTGAGCAACAGCTCACAATTAATCCTGCTCTCTACTCCAAATGCCTGGCATATGGACTTTGGGTGCTCTTACCTCTCCCATGGCTCCTGCTGGCCACAGGAGAGGGAGTTTGCTGGCGCTGCGCTCAGACACATCCCCTCGCCCTGTCTGAAGGAACAGAAGTTTTAAAAGGAATGTGAAATGACAAGGAACTGGGTGATGTTATTTTGGATCTGCTCATCGCTGCGGTCAGAGACCACCTCCACAGGTCTCCAGTAAATAAGGGAAACCCACTGGGGCCATTGGTCAAACTGGCGTGGGGACGGAGGCTGTTTCTGGACTTCTTCCGTAAGGATGAGTAACAGGGGTCATCAACACAGCCAATAAACAAGATGCTAATTTTCCAAACAGTGCCTCTGCAGCATCCGGCTGCCTTTAAGCCATTAACCAAAACACACTTATCTCTGGTTCCCTGGCCTCAAGTCACTCTTTAACCCACTGCCGTTCTGGGCCAGAGGTAGTTGTGCTCAGTAACACCAGATTTCTAAGCCCAGCAGGACACTGGAGCGGTCAGAGTCAGCCCCTCGCAGGCAGCCGTGCCCAGTCCATGGCCTCAGCGAGAAGTAGACACACAATCACAGAACATCTTGAGTTAGAAGAGGCCCATAAGGATCATCGAGTCCGGCTCCCTGCTCCTAACACTAATCCATACAATTGAGGGCGAGTCCTCCCAGCCCAAGGGCTTGGCGTTGGCCAAGGGTGGGGTGGAGAGCACAAACTCTGCTGGAGCAGATGAACTGTGCCGGTGAGCTGGAAATTAAAGAAAAAGGACACTTGAAGCAGGAGCAGGGCAACAAACCACCCGGTGCTGTCGCTGCAGCCCAGCATGCACATTGGGGCAGGGAGCTTCTACCTGCTGCCCCAGTGAGAGCATTGCCACGTGTGGCTGGGCAGCCGTGGGGTGTGACATCCCGGGGAAGTCACCTCAGAGGACATCATGGATCAGCTCCCTTTGGTAAACCACTCGCCACCTAGAAAATACAGCTTTGTGAGCCCTAAACACGACCTGTATCATCTGGGAAGCAGCAGCAAGCATCCCCTGCCCAGACCTGAGCAGGTTTTGCTGTGCTGCTGCGATGCTGTCTGACCGCGACATAGACAAGCGCAGGTCTGCATGCACAGGCTCGCAGCCAGCACCCCTCGCTGGTATTGCAATAGTTCCCACCTGGAGTTCTAACTGTTTGTTATATCACATATTCTGAACGCAGAGCTTTTCTGCATGCCGCAAAAGACCACGAGCAGAGTTTGAGCTGTGCTGGCTCGGAGTCCCCCAGCGACGTCTGAAGTCTGTTCTGCAAAGAAAAACCACCTCCACGGCAGAACCAGAAAACTTTTCGTCTCGGCTGCGCGGCAGAGGGAAGTTGGCAACTTAACTGTTAAACTCGGCTGTGACTGTTGAGCGTTGACATCATCGTGATCTCATCGCTGTAACTTGACCCGCGGGCTTTTTCTGCAGACTGCCTTTAAATACCGGTGCTGGGAGCCAGCGCAGCACCCAGCCCTCTGACAGGACCGCGGGCACACCCGGCAGCACCCCACGTAGATGAAAGCAAAGAGAGGCTACAAAACTCCAGCCATGTCCACATCCCTGCGAGTGAGCCCCTCGGTCCATGGCTACCGCTTTGACACAGCCCTGCGCAAGAAAGCCGTGGCCAACATCTTCGAAAGCATCAACGAAGAGTCCCTGCAGAAACTCTTCAGAAACTCCGGGGACAAGAAGGCAGAGGAAAGAGCCAAGATAATCCTCGCCACCGACCAGGACCTGGAAGAGAAAACGAGAGCGCTAATGGCACTAAAGCAGAGGCGAAAAGACAAGCTGCTCCAGTTCCTGACGTTTCGGAAATACTCCATCAAAGTTCACTGAACAGGCGGAGGGAGCAGAAATGGAGGAGAACTTTTTGGGACGGGACTGTTTGTGACCTCCTACCACAGATGCTCTGCCCCGCGGGCTGCTGGCGGGACGGGGGACCTGACAGACCGCCCGCAGGGCTTCAGCCCCACCATGCACGCAGCAAACCGCAGCGCCGATGGCAGCCTCGGTGCGGACGGCAGGGTGGCAGCCGAGGCCCCCCGGGCGCGGGCCGCCCCC